GAAAAAAAATAAAAATAGAAATCTAATACTTAGAATCTTGCAATACATAAGTTACAATAAAATTCCATTCTCTCTTCTACAACTGATAATGCAAAATAGCAGCCTTACAACTTACTGATTTTATGGACATTTTCAGAACTTCTGTCATTAATAAAAATTTTCGAATTACTTCAATACCGAGTATGTAAGATATGACAGCCATATATCAGATATACAGTAGCGAAGATTTTGATTTTTTATAGGTGACACAAACAAGATGTTATACGGATAATAATTAAAATAGTAATTAAAATTAGCAATATTTTTTCTGCACATAACACGAATATAAACCTGTTTCCTTAATATTTAAGTCCCCCAGACAACCATTCCAAGGCTTTCGCTTGCTTTGACATGATCACATCTCTCTGAAGCTAATGGAACCACCAGTAGGCGAGTGGATAAAACCACCGAACATTTGTAACTTGACTTGGGTTCAGATCCCGGCAAATGAGCTGGCTTCGTGTGTTTGTGTTTTCGTAGTTTACTTCATATGCAATTTCAATTAGAGCCAGTTTTTCTTAGAAAGTCTTTACAAAGCTCTCTTCTTAAACAGATAACCCTCATCAGTTTTGTCTTTAACCAATTAACCAAAGCCTAACATTACTCCTGCTAGCAGGAAGTAGAAGACCACTTGTCGAACTTCTGAATATATGTATTTTATAATTGTTCCTGTTACTGGTATTTTGCATTTCTATTTTCACAGTATATCATTGTTATTTGTATGTATTTCGATTTATCTGTACCTAAATTTTTATTCACAGATTTTGTGCATTAGAAATAAAACGAAAAATATACAAAGTCAATGAGGAAAATACACTCGTGCCCAAAACTAAGTGAATTTGCACAATATGTCGAATTTCTGAAAAACTAATAGACAGATTTTAATCAAATTAGTGTGAATACAAATTTATAACAGAGAAAGAGAAGTACCATTCGAAAGCCATTTTATGTACACATGATTATCATTAAAAATAGTGCAAAGAGGAGCAAAATCCACGAAAATGAGTCTAATATGGGGTATGGTCCCCTCTCGCAGCTAGATAGGTTGCACAGCATGACGATATTCTGGACAGGAGGCAGTTGAGAAGTCCCAGTAGCAATCAATCTCACTCCTGCAGCAAGGCAGTTTTCAACTCTGAGATAGAGGGGGACCCGAGATGAAATTTCCCTTCCAAGAGCATCCCAAACACGCTCTATAAGGTTAAGGTCAGAAGATCTAGCTTGCCAATCCATTCGACAAATATCCTCAGTTTCCAGGTAATCGTCGACCAGCTGAGACCTATGTGAACGAGCGTTGTCGTCCACTAACAAGATCACAGGACCAACTGTACTCCTAAAAGATTAAGCATAGGGCTCTACGATCTCCATTCCTAATAGTAGTCAGGAAGCTTTTATGAAATGCATGCAGGAGTGTGCGGCAGTTCAACATAATGCCTGCTCAAACCATATCACCTCATCACCGTACTAATCCTTTTCTCTGATGAGGGAAGGATGGTATCATGTTCCACGCTCTCTCGAGATACAGTATCCCGGCCGAATCTTGATTCATCTGTAAAACGCACGGTGCTCTACTGAAATCTGGTCTAAGGTGCATGTTATCTGCACCATGGTAAATGCGCTCTCTTGTATGCTGCAGAAAGCCGGAAGCAAACTGCGGGTCTTCTGCATACAGTCCTATCTCATGAAGCCTTTGGGCAAGTGTAGACCATGAAACTCGTGTTCCAAGGGCAATGTACAGCTCACATGACAGCTGTGAAGCTGTTGCAGTCCTGTATCTCCGCGCTGAAAGTGCCAAATAACGATTCTCATTTGTCGTTGTGGATCATGGTCGAACTTGTCCAGGTCTTCTCGATATGGATTCAGTGTCTTGAAACTGTTTTCAAAACTTACAGACTACAATGGGTGTTACACTGAGCTCTGCAGGCACTTGCGCTTGTGAGTGGCCCTCCTTGAATTCAATCTACCGACAATTCTCCATCTCATTCTGTCATCCATTTGCTCGTGGCTACTCGTTTTACCCGATACCGCTAAAATTTAAATCTTGCGAGAAACATGACGAAAGTCGTGAACGAGTACGAGCGCCCAAATCGCCGAAACAAAGCTCCGCAGACACGTACGTGTAGGCTTATGTATTCTACTCGGAATATTTGCATAATTCTTCGGCGGCAGACCTAGTACCTTTGGTTCACTATTTTTCTTAAAAATAGATATAATTTGCAACGCATTTTGTACACGAGTGCATTATCCTCAGACCCCAATGAACGAAGAAAGAAAACGAACATAGCAGCTTGGAACAAATGCTCACACAGCCGTCGTGAGAAAGTTCAAATCTAAATCGCAGAAAATCTGCATTCAATCCTACTAATAAATACAGGCTATACCGCCTTAATCCGACGTTTTGCTATGTACAGCAGTTCGTTTGATCCAGAACGCTTTGGATCTGCAGCTATTAGTATCACTCAAGATTAAGTATTTGTTTATACTGCAACTTAGTGTTTCACTTTTACTGTCCTGTTAATTTCTTATATTCAGCTTAGTCTTAAGGAAATCAAATGATGCAGAACATAGTATTTAGTAAAGGATAGGCCACAGGAATCTAACGATTTTGAAAACCATATCATGGCATGAATCAATACCATAAAGCATAGCGCAAGTATTTATTTATTTCCCAAAATAACTAAATATCCAATACACTTTTTTCAGCCTCTTAATTTTTTAACAAGTCCTCTTTGTCGAATCTGATAACTTCTGCAGAAGTCTAGGTTGAATTTTAGATTTCTGCATTGTTTTTTCGGGTTTACAATTTTGGTTCTAGCAAAATGAGGCAACATTCCATACTGCCAGAAAATTTACGACAACATTTCAGTCATATTTCATATTCTTACTCAGTCATATTTCACACTTACTAACTCTTTATATGTTACATTTCATGGGCGATGCATTCTGCAGTGTTCTCAGTATCGACTAACTTTCTCTGGGACTATCTGAAGTGTCAGGTTTACGTCATTAAACTTAAGAACATTCAGTTCACAAACACAGGAAAGATTTTATTTTTACTAATCAACATGGCTCCATTAAAGAAAACAGAATGATAGATGAGAACTGTATTTGAAAAGTAAGAGAACATTTGAATAGCTTACTTTTCAAAAAATAAGAGACTGAAGAGAAAAACAGCTTTATTGTAACACATGGACATTTAATATGCTACTGTTTTGTAAACCAAACAAATAATTGATTGCCTGGAGTGTGATGGAATTGCATCGCCAAATACATAAGACTTGAATTCAAGTTATTTGGCTAAAAATGAAAGCGAGAAAAGTTTGATAATATCATAAACTTTAAAAAGAACCTTTAATGTTACACCACTATGTATCAGGTGTTCACACAAATGTACCTGTTTTTATTTCCATGTATATCTGTCAATAAAGATGCTAAACCAATAACTTTACTGTTGTAATGTCTACGGCATTGCATAATTCTTACAAATTATTTATTTATGACAAGTCTAATACGGTATTTACTCGCATTTTTTTCTCTTTTCTCACTAGGTTTATCCCAGTGCTGGGCAAAGTTCACTCACTCGTTCATCCCTTCAGTGGGTCGATAAAATGAGTACCAAGTTCGTTTGGGGACTAAACACCGGGAGTCCTGCGATAAGCTGACCACTTGTCCAGGCAAGATGCTCAAGCACCCCGGATCCCATGATCTAGAAAGCAGATATCAGGGCACTGCCGGCAATGGCTCTCTAAGCGCTGTTTGTGCCGCCGAGTTTAGTTTAGTTTAGTTTTTAACTAATAAGATACCTTCATTTCTATTTCATTTCCCTGTATTTTGAATCTCGCTCAATTTTATTACTGTCTACTACTAATCCCTAGGCCTGAAATTATTTAATACTGCTGGGACTGCTGTCTGCCACAGTTTGTAAGTCATCGATATCGTCACTTGTTGTCACTATCTTCATCACCGTTCAGTCTGTCTTCCCATGTGCAATAATCTTCAGAACCACTAAGATATCTCCATTTTCTAGAAACTCTTCACTGTTATTGTTCATCAATCAGAGCCCATTCAGGCAAATTCCACCAGTAAATCAATTAGCGAGACGAAAGTAATTAAATGGACGAATACGTTTTAAAATTTGGGGTAACTCACTTTCTGAAACTCTTGAGAAAGAGTAAAATTATGCAAATACTTCAAAAATTTTCAGAATCTCTTACTAAAAAAATAGGGGGGGTAATCATGGTAATCAAGATAATGACATCGACTGCTCATTTTTCGTTATATTTCGATTGCAACTAAGATGCAGATGTGCCAGTTGTTGACACTGCTGTTGAAATGGTGGAGATGGAATAAGGGAAGACATGCAACAACAGACGTCAAAACAGTGTACTATGTCTTCTCTTCTCTTGTCTCCATAACCTCTGCCTCAATATCGGCTATTGCCAAATATTCTGGAAAAAAGGAAATACAAAGTACTGAATATCCAAACAGTTTTACGATCTCCCCTTCTCTTGTCTCCACCATTTCTACAGCTGCTGTCGAAGCACAGTCAGAAACAAAAAGTCATGCAGCCTTTCTTGATTATTCGTGGCTAATCGAACGACAGCTAAATAACTTGTAACCACAATGCGTTGGCACAGAACAGAATACAGCACAGCAATGAAATCTAATATCATTATTCATGGAACTGTATCAAGATAACAATAGAGACATAATTATGGTTTACGGAGGTTTATACTATGGTTAATATTGGTTTATGGAGTGACCTGAAAATATTAGGGGTTGGACATACATTTACTAATGGATAGGGATTTTGATTTTCTTAAGAGTCAATTTCTTCCCTTCTTCCGTCATTTATCGTGGTCCAGTGATGTCTAGATCCCGAGTATGCTGGATTTTTTAAATAACTTTGATATAATATTAGGACCGATAAGCAAAGGATTCGAAAGTGCAAGTCAACATACCTCTTTCCCGCCACAGTTCCATCGTTCTTCCCAAGAGGCTCGTCCAGTTCGATTCCTGCCCATTCTCCAGAAGCAAAATCTGTCTGTCCAAGGTACCGAAGCACGCCAGTTTTCGTAGGGCCATACGTGCTGGTCACTTGCACTCGGTCACCCTCCCGGAGATTGCGAGACCCTGGGGAAGGAGTACGTGTGGGTGTGAGACATCTCTGAATAGGTGGAGGCGTGTGAGCGTCGCCCAGTTTGGTGGGTGCTGGCGTCGCGTGCAGCAGAGGATATCGGGTGAGCTTGTGGAGGCGGGCGAAAACTCCCCTCTTAGGTTCACACTGGAAGTACCGGACTCCAGCCACGGACCCATCGTTCTTGCCCGAGTGGTCATCAAGAACGACTCCTGCCCACTCGCCTGGAGAGAAACGAGTTTCGCCAAGGTACTGGATATAACCTGGTTTGGTCCCGTTGACCCAGACACGGTCGCCTATGATGAAATCATCTGTGTTTTCTGTCAGGACATCTTCTGGAAAAAATATTAAAAGAAAAAAATACAATTATATTCTAAACAACTTATAACTAAAAACAGTATAAATTAAGTATATTATTAATAAAAAAGGACCGCGCAGATGGTACAGTGGTTAGGGGAGTCTACTGCGGTACCTAAGGAAAGGGTATGAATCCCGGAGAAGGCATGGATATTTGTAAATGTATAGCGTTTTTGCGACATGGGGGCACTCTAAATATACGGCAAGTCGAAAGTTCTCTCGAAACGTAGGGTAGAGGAAGACGGGGTAGGAGACTTTCGGATCCGTCCCCCCCGGATGCTGACCATCCAGATTGGGGGGGGACTGAGCGAAGTCGTACTGTCACCTGTATGGTGCTCAAATGCCCTTGCCAACGACAGGCGCAATCTTGCTCTCCTTGCCACGAAGAATTTCGTGGTCTTGTTCTGCTGTTACTGTCAGAGAAGTGAGATAGGTCACAACATTAATAAAAAAAAGAATAATTCGATATCAAATTACGTAATACATGGCATTAGAATTTTTTTTATCTTTAGAATTCCCAACTGAGTGCTAAGTGTTGCCATATATTTGTATAGACGCAATATTATTTCTTTAAAAATATTATACGGCGATAATATTTGGCGGCAACATCCTTTTATTTAAAAAGTGATATGGGCAAAATAGTGAGGATTGAGACTAGTAGTGTCTCAGGTGCTAAAAAGTAATATCTATAAAGAATTACAATTACCACGTTTGAAAACATTTCAACATTATCATTTAATTTTATTTGGCATACGGACAAAAGTTGACACAAATTAAGAATCTAGCAATTAGGTTTAAAAACATAATTTATTCGCCACACCTTTTGTACAAAACAGTAGTGGTTCCAAAATGAAATTTATATCTCCTCTGAAATGACTTTTTAAAGGCTTAACTTATTCTGTTTTAAACAAAGCTTAGTTTTACAGTACTGAATAAAAGATCTTATCTCTTGTTTCTTGAATATAAAATCAATTTATATCAAATGTAATTCTATCTTAATTAAAAGCAAATAACTTTTCCCCGGAGTTTTCTCCCTCGTGGTATAAAAAAGCAACAAACATTAGCTTAAAAATAATAAATAATTTTTTAAAAAACAAAAGTTTGATTAGCAACATTTTCTCGCGAAGTAAACTATTCTTACTGCTGTTTCCTTTGGAAAGGATAGTGTTTCTTCTTTCCCATTAGACGTGCAAGAGTACCGAAGAGAAAAAGACTCTTGAATACCAGGAATTCGGGTTTAGATCCCAATGAAAAGGAAGGCTGCATGAGGGTTTTCATGGCCTCTCTCTCATATGTAATGTGAATACGAGCCCGTTTTCCTTAGAAAGCTCTTCCCAAAGGCACCCCTCCCTTTAGGAACATATCTCATCTGTGCTTCGCCGTGATCTAATAAATCCCAATCTTAGATGTGAAAAGTATCATTTAGTGTTATAAACCAATTTATCTAAATTGATATCTAACTGATTTCTACTACAAAAAAGTCTTTTTGTACAAACTTACAGCGAAGCGAAGTAATTGTTTGTGACAGCTTTATCTGGCAGTTCAGAGTATATATTCCTGACGCAAATTGAAATAATTATTCTGTTTGAAAATGGAAAAAATATAAAACTTAATAATGTGAAACCCTCGCATCATTATTACGCAAACTTAGTTTGTTATGAAGGTTTTGCTTTCCTGAATTTCCAGGTTATTATAAAGTTAATTATAAAATAAACAGGAAGTCAAATATAATTAAATCACTCGCAGATTCCAAGGAGTCCCGAATACCAGTGCACTAAAGCGATTTTATTGCGAAAGATGTCTTCTGGTTTTTGAGTCCGTTGACTGACAGCTTAAGACCTCAAATCCCAGGACATTCGGACCTCAATCCCAAAAGAGAAACTCAAATCACCGTTATTGACGAATCGCTGAATTCAGATGATTAAGCACTTTCTGAGTGGTTAGCGACGCTCACTGCCGTAAAGGGCCCGGGTTCGAATCCCGGAGAAGGCTTGGATATTTGTAAATGTATAGTGTCTGTGGGGCATGAGGGCACTCTAAATATGCGGCCAGCCGAAATTCCTCTGGAACGGTTGATGATGTGGAAAGAGGGGTGGGAGATCCTCGGACCCGTCCTCCCGTGGTGCTCTCCATGAAACCTGGAGGCGAAACTGAGCAAAGTCGTATTGTTACCTACAGCAGACAGTGATTACAGGGAACAGTACTCACCTGACTGTACAGTATGGTGCTTAAGGCTCTTGCCAATAACAGACAATCCTTGCCGCAATGAATTTCCTGTGCTTGTTCTAACGTTACTGTCACACAAGTGAGATAAGTCACGAAAACAACAACAACAAGCACTTTCTACGCATTGAGAGAGAAAACTACATAGTGTTTATTTATCAAATTACTCTGTATGTTCAACAAAAATTTTATATTAAAAAAGTCTATTCTAAAATTCGTTATTAATCATCCATTTAGGTAACTCAAAACATTAATGAAGAAATTATTTCTACTCTATTAAAAGTCTACTCTAAAATTCGTTGTTGCAGAAAGTTACTAATCATCCATTTAGGTAACTCGTAACATTAATGACGAAATTATTTTCTGATGCATCTGCATTCCGATGATTAAAAGTCGCTAAAGGAATTTTAAAAAGGCCACAGATCATAATCAACAACTTCGCGACAAGGCTCATAATTATCATCAATAAGGATAAGTTATTATTTCCCGGGGGTACACACATCGCTATTTACATAATTTGCGTAAGAGGCAAGGTGGTATTACGTGTTTCTGCTCATACTGTGATTTGTCATAAACTGACATTTGAAGGCTGTCTCGCAAATTTGGGATTCCTATGCTAGGATCACCAAATTTTAATGCGATTGCAACATTGGCTTGCCATCTGAAAACTGATCTCGGTATCTAATATCATAAGTGATGAATTTAATTTCCTAGGACCAGCGGTTTCCGATTCCTGCGAAAATTCATTAGATCTCTTTATCAGGTGTTCGGTTTTTCAAAGACTTTTCCGCATATTCTTCATTATATCACGAATCAATATTCACCCATTGCAGGAATAAAAAACAGGACTATTATACAATCATAAATTTTAGATTAGCGTAAAATTCTAAAATACGATTTATTAACTAGTTACCAGTCAAGTAATCTTACAGTTAGAATTTCATTTTTTAACACCTAAAAGTCAGGGGTTATATTGTTTACGCTATGTGAATTTCCTGTCCAAAAAAAAAAAAAAAAAAAAAAAAAAAAAAATAGAAACTGTTGCCATTTCACTTGCGGAAAACATTTGCTTGCAGTTAACAATGAAACAAATAAGAAGCTAGCTACGTTTTGAATAACTATATTTTTTCTTCAAGTAAGTGCAAGTGACATCAATAATATCATAGTAAGATTTTTCCCCTTACTGTTTGGATTTTTTTTAACACTTCATTCTAAATACCGTATTTACGCGAATCTAATGCGCGTCGTTTTTGGCCAAATGTAGTACTCAAAATTGGGGTGCGCATTAGATTCGATGGCGCATTAGATTCGAGTGCAAAGTTCGCCGATGACGTCAGCAGTTCGCTGATGACGTCAACCGAATTTAAATCGTAACAATGGATTACTGTATTTCTCGACTACATTTACCGTTACATTTATCGTTGACACATTATTGCATACTGCAGAGTACGTAGTCACGAAATGGAGGGCAAGCAGAGAAGAATGTCATATGACGCTACTTTCAAACGTAAAGTAATTCTTTATCCTGAAGGAAATGGCAATAGAAAGGCTGGGAGAGAGTTCAACGTAGCTGAGAGCAATGTTCGCTTGTGGCGGCAACAGAAACTGGCACTGTTTGCAACTAAAACTAGTAGAAAGAAATTCACTGGCCCTCGCAAAGGAAGACACCCTAAAATTGAAGAAAAAGTTTTGGAATTTGTACGTGAAAGGAGGAAGAATGGACAACCTGTGACTAGCGACACTATAAGAAATAAAGCAAAAGAGGAGGCTGAAGTTCTTGGAATACCGAAACGAGAGTTTAAAGCTAGCCGTCGATGGGTGGATCGGTTTATGAAGCGGATGGGCTTATTTCTAAGACGCCGTACAACAATATGCCAAAAACTTCCTGCAGATTTTGAGGGAAAACTACTAACATTTTAGCGGTATGTCATCACACTTCGGAAGGAAAAGAATTTTTCAATGGGGCAAATTGGCAACGCTGACGAGACGCCAATTTGGTTTGATATGCCTCGTAACTACACCATTACGGAGAAGGGGACTAAAAAAGTTATCATCAAAATAGTGAATAAAGACGTTTACTATTAATCACTGATTGTAGAAACTGTTAGCTAGATAGAAATGTTACCATTTATTTCATGTTCATACTTTACGATATGTACCGTATATACGGTAGTGGTAATTAACAATGATTGTTTCACATAACAATAGCCCACTAATAGGTTAATTCTATGTTCTGTTACTTTATGTATAAATCCATTGTTGTATAAAATATGGTATCTAAATTTAAATAAAATTATCATACCATTGATTGATAGTTTATACACAAATCCATTGTTGTATAAAATAAGATTCAATAAATTCCTCATACCATTGATGCGCATTACATTCGCCGACAAACAATTTTTTTATTATTTAAAATTTTAAAATGGGGTGCGCATTAGATTCGATGGCGCATTAGATTCGCATAAATACGGTATATGATTTTTTTGCGTTTTATGACTTGTGTTCTGACGATTCTAACTGAAACTAATAGAATCGTAACTTAACTTAAAACTGTGCCAGCTATTAAACTGTGATCTTAATAATAAGACCAGATTGCAATTTATTTTTATTAATTTCTAAATTATTTAATTATTTTTACTATTAATTATATAATATTTTTAAAACTGTGACGCCAAATTCTTCTCTAATGTGTTAATCGTAATCTGGTCTTCAGGCTGAAATTTTATTGTATTTTTATTTCACTCCCCCCATC